AGGTGACTGTCTTATACTACTGTCTTATACAGGTGACTGTCTTATACAGGTGACTGTCTTATACTACTGTCTTATACAGGTGACTGTCTTATACTACTGTCTTATACAGGTGACTGTCTTATACAGGTGACTGTCTTATACAGGTGACTGTCTTATACAGGTGACTGTCTTATACAGGTGACTGTCTTATACAGGTGACTGTCTTATACAGGTGACTGTGAGAGCAGGTCGACCGTGGTATACATCAAAATACAACGTCACAGGTAAACCATTTTCAAAATTTTAAAACCGAAATTAACTTCAATTTGGACCAAAATGTGTACCAGGTTTGTTTGTGTCTCCCAACTTGTCACGCACGGCCCGGAAGTGAAGTTTTGGCACGACGGCTGTCTCCGTGCTGGTGTAGCTGGCGTTGATGGCGGGCGGCGTGTAGTGGGACCAGCCACCGGGGGCCACACACGGCAGGTCAGAGACCAGTTCTTGCTGCTCCTGGACTGTGCAGTCTGACAGACAGACGAACAATGGATGGGTGAGATTTACGAGGCGCATTCAAAGGAAGAAATGCATATTTCAATAAGAGTTTAACAGAACTTGCGACACAAGTAGATCATATTAACCCTATCCGTATGCCCTGGGGTAATTTTGTACCTCTGGCGTTGCATTCGTCACATTTTAGAATACTTCTTGTACAAAGATCTCTTTGAAACTTTCAGTATTTCTCAAAAAATCATTTTGACAGACTGCTATGCAAAGTGTACAGATCAGATTAACAATTAAATTACCTCTTTGGAAGGTGGTGGCACAGAGTTCCCCACGTCGTATGGATACGATAGTAAAACACGACGTACGGTTAGGGTTAATAAGTGCCAAATATTAGAGATTTACTTGAGAGTAACATACCAAGAAAAGAAAGGGAGACAAGGACGATAGATGCGAGACAAGGACGACAGATGCTTGACAGGAAAGAAGGGAGCAGACCACACCTCAGCACCCGCATCCACCCACAAAGGAAGAAACATGATGGCGTTTGCAACACAAATAAGCCAAAGATTGGAGATTTACAAGAGAGTAATGCACAAAAGTAAAGGAGAGATAATGGTGATAGCTGTTTGATAGGAAAGAAGGAGCAAACCACACCAGAGCACCCGCCTACCACCCACAAAGGAAGAAAAGATATATGATGCAGGTACAAATGTTAAAAGAATAAAACAGTTCTGTTTTCTTTAGCTTTCTGGGTTGAGTACTTTTGAATAGCTTTATGGGCTGGGTACATAAATTGATCAGCTTGTCGACAAGTGTAGATCTTTCCTGCCAGATGATCATGGGTGTGGCTGAAAGACAGCAGTAAGAAGGAACCACGGAGTAGCAGTAAAAAGGCTGCAGAAAGAGTCAGGAGCCCAGAGGAGGGGGCAAAGGAGGTGAGGGGGTGGGGGCAGAAAGTGGAGACGAAAGCAGACGACAGAACATTGCTAGAGAGAGGGAAAGGAGGTGAAAGGAGACAATTTTAGAGAAGTAAATTCTTCTGTCGCTACCTGGATTCGAACCCAGGACCTTTGAATGAGA